GCATTTTAGTGGAAAATAGGCAAAATACAAAGAGATATAGGCTTGTTTTCTTTTGAGCTAGGGGGCCATCGCCAAGGTTGGCCCCCATGAAGCTCCACCACTGCTGCCACTGACAGACAGTAGCAATGGAGGCATAACATCGCTGGATTGTCTCCAAGGTGGGATTTTGGTGGTGATGTGTTCTATCACTCTGTGATCAATGGTTCGGTCACACGCTCATTGCTTAGTGTGTGTACGGTTTTCAGCCCGCGTGGATATTACGCCTCGACCATATGCACTTACATCATTTTTAATGGCTGCAAGTGCTCAACGAGGATCAACGTTGCCCTTTTTCCTTTCCTTTTCCATTTCATCCGCCAGCATAGCGTTGGTCTCCTATGGCTTTACTACTTGTCGGTGTGATCCTGTGTGCGTTGATGTTGGTTGTGTGCATCCTATCTATGTAGAGATCGGATGTTTATTAATTTTGTTTTGTATCTCGTTGATGCTTCATTATGAGTTAATAAAATCGCCCTTTTTCGAGAGCAAAAACGAATGAGCATGCTAAGTAGAGGGCATAACCAAACTACAATGTAGAGATACAAAATGAACTAACAAGTAACAAACACGTCAGAGGGGAAAACAAAATGACCACAAGTTTTCGTCTCCTATTTTTTTCTCATAAAAGGGATTTCTCCAATTTAATTAAGGAAACCACTAGGACTTCATTCAAGGTTCAAAAGGCTAGCATGTAAACAAATAACATCCTCGAGAATACAAAGATCCACACGGAGGCAGTACACCTTTATAAAAACAATTCACCAATAAGCACAACAAGGGGGAAACAATACTGAAGATGGCAATTCGTCGCAAGCTAGAAAACGTCATCGATCATTGATCCAGTGTCAGAAATGGTACCAACCCCATCGCCTGCAGCATCCATGAGTCTTCTCGAACAAAGTCGTACTTAACTTTCATTCCCTTTTTCTTCTGCGACGACAAATACAGTAAGCAAGGGAAGTGGGAAATTCACAGGAACATAAGAGCTGTCGACCAATATGATGATGAAAGTCCTACTTAGCCGGCAGCACACCAAGGATCATGTCCTTCATGAGAGTGGGGCAGCTCCTGCACAAATGATCAAAGCCGTCCGTGGCTAGCACCGCTCTCAGGTTGTCTGGACACCGGAGGAACTCGCTGCATGCCTTCTTCAGCCCTTCACAGCCGTGCTGCTCGGCGAGCGCCAGGATGACTGCCGCGGTGCTCACGTTGATGTGCTCGCACAGCTTCTTCTCCCACATCATCCTCAGCCTCAGCAGGTCGTACCTGTCGGCTGTAGCAAGAAGGTGCGGCAGCATAACGACGTCCTCGTCCTGCACTGCTGGTGCAGGAAGTGAGTCTCCGTAGATGAATCCTAACATCGCCTTGAACACTGCTGCATTCATGTCATCTATCTGCACCATGGCGGACGTGCCTTCCTTCATCAGACCGAAGAGCAACGCCCTGAAGACGGTAGACCGGGCCGCGAGAACACATCGGTGGGCGGCAAACGTCTCGCCGCCGACTCGGAAGGCCACATCGGTGCCCTCTCCGGTCAGGAGAAGATCGGTGAAGTTTCGTTGCATGTTGGACGGCGGCACCACAATTAACGAAGAAGCGGTGGCCGTGGGTCCGGTGGTGGTGATCACTTCTTCCGTGACAACCACGATGTCGCACCGGATGGTGAAACTGTCGTCCTTGAGGTGTTCAGATTTCCCCATTGCCTCCCATCCCTCGTCGTTGCCGCCAGCTTCAAACTCGGATACTTTTCTACCATGGATGCATGCCGGCTTGTGCTTGTCGGTCTCGTCAACGAAACTGAACTTGAACTGTGCCTTCACGGTCTCCGTAGCCGGTGCCTCTTCCTTATGGAGGTGAAGCCAAAGGGTTATATATCCATTGTTGTTCAGGTGTTCGTCATTGGGGTAGAACATGATGTACCAGCGATGGCCTCCGATTATGAAACAGCGAGACTTAATAGGTTCTGGAGTGCACGACTGGCCTTCAACAACAAGCAAGTGGTACCCGCTGGCGCTGGCAGTAGTCGGGGAGGTGGTGGCGTGCACGAGCTTGCCGTCGACGATTACTGATACACCCGCGAAGAACATCATGGATTGATGAATCTGCAACTGCAAGTGGTGAAACATTAGGATGTAGCACACAAGTAAATCTGAGAGAGAGAGAGAGAGAGAGAGAGAGAGAGAGAGAGAGCTGCAGTGGCACGCGAACCAATCAATGGAGGATTGCCGTACCTCGCGGGCCGGTATGTGTGGGAGGAGAAGCTGTTGAATTTGAGCCTAAGCGAGCATACTATGGCCAATATCACTATGGCTACACTTACACCGGAAGGAGACGCACTAGAACTCTGGTTGGTGACCAGCTTAGCTATTCCAGCTCTTTACTTCATCTTTCATCTTATATACAGACGACGACGGTCATGAACAAAAAAAAAAGCTTTTACATGTGAACACGAACACACTAGGACGTGACTCGAGGGTTGTCTAGGGACTCCACGAGCCTTCAATAGCACAACGCTCAAGGAGTACACTACTGATCACCTACATGCATGCCGTCAATTAATCGCACTTCCTCAAGCAATCAACGCCTTTGAAATTTCAACGCGTGCATGCAACGTGACCGCGTCCACAAATAGAAGATGGCAACAAGATCAGTTTCTGAAAGCAGATACTAGTAAAGTATAAACACATGAATAGAAGGCAGTTTGGTTTCCACTAGACTGCACAAATATAACCAAAGATTCAGGCTGGGCATTCGGTTTTTGAAAAAGTTCGGTTTAGAGAAAATCATGACCAATCGGTCATTTGAAAATATCCTAACCAAAGATTCGGTAGACCGATATTTCGGTTCGGTGCTTGGTTGACACTTAATTGACCAATAGATTACAGAAATTAAATGAAAGCCTAGCACATCAGCACATGACTCAGACGGTTGTCAATGAGAGCCTTCAATAGCACAACGCTCAAGGCTCACCTATATGCATGCCCTCTCAATTAATCGCACTTTGTCAAATGCAACCAACGCCTTTGAAATCGCATTCAATCGTGACTGTTACCACAAATACAATATGGCAACAAGATTGGTTTCTGCAAACAGATTGTAGTAGTACTAACAAATAGAAGCCACCTTTTGTTTCAACTCGGCTGCAAATATAACATGCCGATGAATGCATATGTTTAGAATTCACTGTAACAGACCAATGTTGTAATTTCTCAGTGCAAGAAATGATTCAAATTTCGAGGATTGAATAGAGGGAATGCAAGGAGCTAGTACATGACCCACTGCCCGGTGCGGCGGTGCCATGACTGCTGGTTGCTGCACCGCCGAACTGCCGCCTTGCCGGTCCTGTCTTTTGCGCCTGCCGCCGTCGTGCCGCCGTTGCTGTTCGCTGGTCCGCTGTGGCGCCGCCGCCGTAAGGGCCTAGGGCTAGTACTACTACGATTGGATTGGTGCGATCCATCGTAGATAGATCGATATTGTCCCTGCAGTGCTGCGAGCGTGCAATGCTCACTGGCCTGGCCTGCTGAGCCTCCATGCTTTCTTTCGTTTTTCTCAATAATAGTGTTGGGCCAATTTCTTAGGTTGTACCCCGCTAAGCGCGACAGCCTCCTCTATTGCGTCCGCCTCTGACAGTAACAAAAACAATTGTGTTCCCTCAAAACAAATTGTGACACACCAGTAAATTTTGCTAAGGCTGCCTGTTAATGAGAACTGTCATTGTTCATGTACGTAACTACTCCCTCTGTTCCTTTATATAAGGTGTATTTGTTTTTTCAAAAGTTAAACGTGTGCATGTTTGACAAAAAAAACATGTGCATGTTTGACCAAGTTTTTAGAAAAATGTGTGCATGTTTGACCAAGTTTTTACCAAAATACTGTATATCAATATCCACAATACTAAATTTATGTCCTTTGATCCATCATGAAGAGTAGAAGGACAAAACCGGACGAAACTAAAAACCTAAAAAAAAAATCCTACATTACCCTATACTTCACGGTGACCTCGTAGGCCATGCCGGGCTGGCCGGCTGCTCCCCCGTCATCATTGCCGGAGCGTTGCCGTCGCCTTCATTGTCGTCGTTGGTCTTCGGGCGGCGGAAGGGTGCAGCGTCGCGGCAGGGTTTACTGGCAGGGCTTCCTCATGAGTCATGTGCAGTGCAGCCACGACCACCGACGAAGTGGGCAGGGGGGAAGGGCGGCGAGCCTCAGAGGAGGCGGCACTAGTGACAGTGATCTCGCTGAGAGACCACTTTTCGCCATACTTGGCCATCTCACCATCGAGGCGGCGGAAACGGTGCTTGATCGTCTCAGCCGTCGTCACGGGCAACGTCCATAAGCAATGCCAGACCTCCTCGACAATTGTCACCGTTGACATCCTAGAAGCGCTCCCACAAAAGTCCAGTAGAAATGTCAATAGAGCAGATCTAGATGATGAGAGTAGAAGGAAGAAGATGATAGGGTAAGAGGAGCGAGAAAGAAGATGACGTGTCTTCCTCTGCTCCCCGGAAATATTAATCACTACAATATCTAAGCTCCCTCGAAATTAAGCGTTGTGAGCGCTTCGGGGCTGGGATGGTGGAAGTGACCACGTCTATTATTTTTTTACAAGAATCACTTTGATTTTCTAAGAAAAAACATGGTCTTTTATTAGGTAAATAGGTATTGTTTTTTCTTGAACACAGTAAAGTTAAACTCACTCACATACACGAGCATACACTCATCCCTATAAATGTATGCATGCACATCATATCCTTATGAGTATCTCTGAGAGAGTGAGTTGGCACATCATCTTGAGATTGACAAAGTCTCTATAAACACACTCGTAGTTGATAAAAACATCTCCTCCCACTGCACACACATCGCTGAAAAGTCTGAAATAAATCCAGGAAATGTGAGCACCAATGTCAAGTATGACACTTCAACTCTGGTGGGGATACCAATGTCCTCCTAACCATCCAACATTAGGTATTGTTTACTATTTGGGTAAACCATCCAACTACGTGTGTCCAGCACTTGATGTGTTATGTGTCACTTACTCCTGAACTGAAACCACAACATTTGTTTGAGATCAGAGGGACTACTTTTTTGCGAGAGAAAAAAAGGGTTACATGTTGCTCATGTATATCTGGTACGAGGAAAATTAATGATGTGGCCAACTATATCCACGCTTATAAAAGTGATGTACCATCACATAGCAGCACAGTCACCACCAACTTGGCCCATAACCGCCTCCTCTGTGTGACGTGGCTGCATGGGTGCTATTAGTCCACCACCATGCCACATACCCCGCCTGTCTCTCCATATTTCCCCCTTCTCTCATGGTGGTATGCCCGATCCATCACCGCCTCCTCCGCACCACACAAATGCACAAGCATCCGACCCATCACCTACTCCTCCGCATCATATGGTTGCACAAGCGCCGCCAGTCCATCACCGCCTCCTCTGCACCACACGGTTGCACGGGCGCCTGTCCCACACCGCCTCCTCCGCACCACAAGGTTGCACGGGCTTTGCCTGTCCACCACCACACCGCACACCACGCCCATCGCCCCATTCTTTGTCCCTTTCTTTTGTGCGATAATTAACATCCAACGACGACGACGCTCGGGGCATAGAGACAACTATCGTCTTTGGAACTTGGTCACCTTCATCAACACGCCATGGCCCATAAGGTCTGTAGTACAACTCCCGGTACCTCCTTCCTCTCCCTCTGTCATCCTTTCCTTCTCTGGCAGCCTAATTCAAATTCAATCTCGATCGCTTCAGTGCTAAACAAGAAGTAGATTATACCGGAAATTTATCTCACCGTGTAAGGTTTCAATTTGAAAGCCTCATGCTTTACTTCTTAAGTACCATCTCCGTGCTTGTCGATTAACAACCTCCGCAGTTTATACATGGCATGCTTTATGTTGCATTTGTTCCATGGTGTAGTGCATACTAGTTTTTTTAGTCAAAGATGCCCTTTGGCCTAGTTTCTAGAATAAACTATCAATATCTAAAGTACTAAATAAATAAACTATAACAACACATCTGAATGTTGATTTTTTTGAAAAACTTGGTCAAACATTGGCATGTTTGACTTTTCGAAACAAAGTATGTACTATATTTAGAACGGAGGGAGTATTAATTTGGATACGATTCCAAGCCTAAGGAGCACGCGGTCTCTAACTGAACTTAATTGGTACTAAAACAATAAGACAAGATAATAACTAGGTTTTCCTATGAAGATAATTTGGTTAATTGTCACCGAGTCGCTTATGTACAAAGCTGATCAGACCTTATTAATGCATCAGTAATGTTACATTCAAATGAAAACTGAGATCAATCACATGTGATATTATCTCTTGATCCTCCCATTTCAGTCTCTTCCTCTCAGAGGCTGCTATAAACATGCTTCATTCCCTTTCCCGTCATTAGTTAGTCAGTGCAAATCATTGCTTTTATTTCAAATATGTTCTTTCTGTTTTGATTCTAACTACGCATATGAATGATGAATATTGAAAACCAGAAGACATATACTTTGGTGTAGTGCTGCGACTTTCAAGTATTTCTCACTTTCAATACCCTTGTATCATTATTGCAGACCATAATTGTTGGTGTTTTGTATTATTTATATGTGACCAAGGTAAATTACAAAATATTGATTGGTTAAATCACAGAGTTGGATGATTGTTGTAGATGAATACTATAATCAGAAGCCTGAGTTATGCATATTATAGTTTTCAATTAGTTTTGCAGATGAATATTATCATGTCCATCCTGTACTATGGTTTAACCCTGCAGATCGAGGATATGCTTGACGCCAACCACTACTTTGGATATGTTTTTGGCAGTGCTGCTAACATATCATTTTTGTGAAGAACAATAGTTGTAAAAAAAGTGAGTAATATCCTACCAAGTAAATGATGATGTGTCTTAGCATCTAGACATATACTGCAATGCAATAAAGGGTGTCCTGACCCTAAAATTATGGAAGCCAAAACACAGAAGGCCCATGAAAAAAAAAACTCCCAACCAGCAAATAGAGAAGCAAGCAATATTTTCATGAATTACCAATAAAAAAGGTAGAAAAGTACAACGGCGCAGCAAGGCG